TGATACACAATATAGTAGTCTTCTACTAAAAGGAGGTTAGTTGATACAGAGAAAGAAAATATTTGAACTGCTGAAAGAAATTAACTTACTGTCAGCTAAACAGAAAATGCTTCAGTTTGACCACCAAACTGACATCACAACCCATCTAAACTCATCTATTTCTTATTTCTCTATAAGGATGCTTGCCAACGGTTATCCAAATGTGTGATTCAAATTGCTCGTACCGGCCAGGCAAGGTGGCTCATGCCTGTAATCCCAACACTTTGGAAGGCCAAGGCGGGTGGGATCACTTGAGCCCTGGAGTTCAAAACCAGCCTGGACGATATGGCAAAACCCTGTCTGTACTAAAAACACAAAAATTAGCCAGGTGTGGTAGCGTGTGCCTGTAATCCCAGCACTCAGGAGGCTGAGTCATGAGAATCGCTTGAACCTGGAGACTGAGGTTGCAGTGAGCCAAGATCGTGCCACTGCACTCCACCCAGGGCAACAGAGCAAGACTCTGTCTCAAAAAAAAAAAAAAATTGCTAATACCTAGCAAAAGTGTGTTTGGAAAACTCACTTGACAAGGAATAATCTGGTCTACTTCCTAAACTGAATTGAGTGAACAAGAAAGAAAATGATGGCCTGCATTACATTTTTTTTCAATCTGTAGCATTTAAGACTAATTCCAAAAAAGGTTCTCTATTTTTTTTTTAAGTGAAAGTAAGTTTACTAAGAAAATAGGTCAGGCATGGTAGTTCATGCCTGTAATCCCAGCACTTTGGGAGGCAGAGGAGGGTAGATCACCTGAGGTCAGGAGTTCAAGACCAGCCTGGCCAATATGGTGAAACCCCGTGTCTACTAAAAATACAAACAGGCATAGTGGCACATGCCTTTAATCCCAGCTACTTGGGAGGCTGAGGCAGGAGAATTGGTTGAACCCGGGAGGCAGAGGTTGCAGTGAGTCGAGATCGCACCATTGCACTCCAGCCTCAGCAAAAAGAATGAAACTCCATTTAAAAAAAAAAAAAGAAAAGAATAAAAGAATGGCTACTCCATAGGCAAAGCAGCTGTTCTCTATTTTTTCAGTTTATTAAAATGAATTAATTATTCAATTCACCTTTTTCAATATTGGTACATGAATAAAGAGCCACAAAGGAAGTAGTCAGTGAATTATAATTCTAAAAACTAAGTATGATGACTCTAGGATATCAGAATTTTCTACAGTCTCATGTGTAAACAGTTTTATTACAAAACACAATAAAAAACTAATTATTGCTAAAATCTAAAGGAGTTGAGGCTGAAATAACAGAATTAAAAGTGGTAACTAGGGGCAAAAGAGAAGGTATCAAATTTCCAGTCTCCAATTTAAGTAACTTGTTACTTTTAAATGCACTTTTTTAAATGTCTACTTTAAATTTAAAATATAGTTACTCTTATGATCTTTGTATGTTAAAAGCTACACCCATAGTTCAATAAAAATTAAGAAACAATTCTATTTATGGCACTTTTTTTTTTTTTTTTTTTTGGACTATGCCTACTTTTGTCTACATTCTTTCATGCCTACCTTCTGGAGGTATTTGTGGTGGCAATCCTGAGTCTACAGTTTAAAGACCAAACCAAGGAAGACTTACAAGATCTTTCACCATCTAACCTCAACTTTTCCCAGTCTTATCTCCTGCCGCTCTTTCCTTCCCTTGCCCCACTTCCTTCTCCCTTCTCCAAATTATGCTGTTATCATTCATGCCCTAGTACCAAATCAAATTCGAAGTTCTCTGAGGCAGGGCATGGTGGCTCACACCTGTAATCCCAGCACTTTGGGAGGCTGAGCAGACAGTTGGGTGGATCACTTCAGGCCAGGAGTTCGAGACCAGTCTGGCCAACATGGCAAAACCCTGTCTCTACTAAAAATACAAAAAATTAGCCGGGTGTGATGGTACACGCCTGTAATCCCAGCTACTTGAGAGGCTGAGGCAAGAAAATTGCTTGAACCTGGGAAGTGGAGGTTGCAGTGATCCGAGACGCTGTCTCAAAAAAAAAAAGTTATCTATGTGATGGCCTTTCGCAATTTGATCTTTATATAATCTTTTCTCTCTACCTGAAAACTCTTCCTTTCTTTTCATTGCCTGACAAACTCCTACTCATCTTTCAAACTCATGTTTGCAACACTTGCCTTCCTCCAGTCTCTTCCATTCTCCCACATTCTTTCTTCTAATACCTGCATCATAATTCTTTAATATATTATAATATTTGCTTACATATGTGTCTGTATCATCAAACTAATAGTTCAAGAACAGCGGACATCTGTCTATTATCTCTGAACACCTGAAATCCAGTATCAAAGTCTTCTACTGAAGACTTTGCCACATTAAAGTTAACATTCCAACTCCACAACCCTGGCTACATGAGCTTAGGCAAGCTAATTTCTCTAAACCTCAGTTTCATCACACTTAAAATGAGATATGAGTAATTAATTCATTACTTGGATTGTTTTCATAATTAAGCATAAGTTTTTAAATCACCATCGTAATAACTGATTCCAGCAAGAATCAAAGGGTGCTCAAACCATTAGGTGAAAGTTTGTGGAAGAACAGGACATTTCACAGTTTCAAACTAACATATTATTTGTTATTGGCCAATGGAAAAAGATAACTTTATAACGGACAACACGTTAACCAAGTAATTAAACAAATACCACCAATAAGGGGACAAATGGGTACGAAGTGCCCCGGTGTGATGCACTGAGAAAGTCTCATCATCTATGAAGAATTCCTTCTAAAAATTGTTTAGCCTGAATCTAATCATAAGGAAACAACTAGATGAATCTGAATTAATCAAACAAATGGCCCAGGCTCTTCCAAATGTTGTTAAAAAAGACAGTCCTCTCCCCGCTTAAACAGTACTGAGAAACTGTCCAGATCAAAGAAACCCAAATGGTAACTAAATGGAATGAGTGATCCTTGACTGGATCTCAAATGTTAAAATGGTTTATCTTTTTTAAAAAAAAGTACCAGCCTGGGCAACATGGCGAAACTGTCCCTACAAAAAATACAAAAATTAGCTAGCCATGATGGCCTGTGCCTGTAGTCCTAGCTACTGGAAAGGCTAAGCTAGGAGGATCACTTGAACCCGAGAGGCAGAGATTGCAGTGAGCCCAGTTCACGCCTCTGCACTCCAGCCTGGGTAACACAGCGAGACTCTGTCCTGAAAAAAAAAAAAATTAGCCAGGAGTCATAGCTATTAAGGAGGCTGAGGTGGGAGGATCGATCTCTTGGGCCCAAGAAGTTGACACTGCAGTGGGCCGTGATCATACCACTGCACTCCAGGTTTGGAGACAGAGCGACCCTGTCTTACAAAAAAAAAAAAAAAGAAAAGAAAAAAAGAGAACATTATTGGGATAACTACAGAAGTCTAAATACAAGGCTGTATCCTGGATTACAGTATTACACAAAAGTCAAAGTTTCTGCATGCTATAACCATTATTATAATTGCTGCAGGCTAGAAAAATGGCATTGTTTTTAGAAGATACATGCTGATGTATTTAGGAGTTAAGAGTCCCGACTTCTGCAGCTAACTCTCATACAGTTCAGCAAAATACATAAATTAACAGAAAGAAAGCAAATGCAACCAAGTATTAGCAACTGGTGAATCTAGGTAGAGTATATGGGATGTCACTCTAACATTCTCGCAACTTTTCCTCGTAAGAACTTTTCAAATATAAAACATTGAGAAAATTTAAATAAAAAATATTAAATGAGGATGCAAGTAAAGTGCTTAGCACAGTAACACAACAGGTTGCTATAATTGCTAATACTGTTATTATCTTCCAAAACAGATTAAGTGACAGATCTAAGAAAATGTGACATTGAAATCACTAGAAATAACTATATCAGAAACAGGAAAAAAAGCATTCTCATAAAATTGGACTGTGCTATAATAAATCCAACACCATAAAAAAATACCATTACAAAACCCCTCATCGTGTAGTTTTACACGAATCCACTTTAAGGTCGTCTTTAAACAAGTACTTAGTGAGCGCCTATCAGGTGCCAGTCTCTGTTCTAGGCTCCGAGGATAAAAACATTTACTTTCAAAATAGTTACATCTTAGTGAACTAAGACAATAAATGTCATAAATACAATGGAGTTTAAAATAAAGTAGGAAGAACAGGGAGTGCGGAAGGACTGCAAGAGTAAAGTTTGGAGCCTCCTAACTGAAGAGCGTTGGTAGCCGGCCAGGTAAGGTCAAGGCACAGTGAAGAGATCAGTGTGGCTGGATGAAGTAAGCCAAGAGGAGGGAGTTGAAGATGGGACTGCAGATGGAAAGGGGTAACAGGCAGTCCAGAAACCAAATATACCATCCTAAGAGCTTTAGCTTAGAAGAAGCCCAAAGGAGAGGCACAATCAGCGGTAACTTCCACAGTGGGTTCACTTTAACATCCTCCCAACTCTCCTTCTTCCTAGCGCCGCCCTCCCCCAACCAAGCCTCTACCTCGGCCAGATCACCTTCCAGTGAACCTGACACATTATCATTTCTTCATGAATATTGTGGGTGTGTGCTCGGATGGGGACAGCTCTGGCATGGTACATCTTTTCTCTCACGATTCCCCAATCTGCTCAGAGATAATCCAAACCACCCTCAGGGACGCACACACAACAGAGAGGTCACACTCGACACGCAAAAGCACGCCTCCCCACAGCGGCGCTCCACACACCCTCCAGCAACGCGCTGGGCGGTGCCAGCCGCCTCGAAGCGAGGCTCCCGGGTCGACCGAGCCACCCCCCACTCACCCTCAGGTTCCCTTTAGTTCGCTGCTTGTTCTTCCCGCCCATGGTCGCGGTTGCAGCTGTATTCTGAGCACTCAGATCCCGGTTGACTCGTCCGGGACACAACTTCCGGCCTCTGGCGCCGGAAGAGGACTCCCTGTAATAACTTCCCCCGGGCCCTTTTTCCACCACCCACCCTGTCCATTTGCTGCCCCACTTCCGCTCCCGCCTCCCGCTGTGTCCCTGACCATCCGCCGCCGGAGACGTCACAGTTAAAGCCACGCCTGTCTGAGTGATGTCATTCCTGGCCAATAGCAAGCCAAGCATTGGACCCGTGGCGCCAAATCCTGTCTTCCCCGCTTCCAGAAGCTAGGTTTGTTCCTTGCTTAGCGGGTAGGAAACTGGCATGAACCAACAGAGGGGCAGTTCACATAAGGGTAGCAATAGAATGTTATGGTAGAGGCTGTGGGAAGATGGGAATGTGTTAGACTTCCAACATGATGCAATCATCAGTATCACCTGGGCGTTTGTTACAAAAGGCCAACTCGGGCCCCTTGGAACTCCTCAATCAGATCCTGAATTTTGACGGTATTCCCAAGTCTTGTTAAAATTTGATTACTGCTCTAGGCAATATTCTCTGTAAATCTACCCCCCGTCCCCTTTTATTCATATTGAAACTGTTACGTGCAGTTTAAAAAGAGTATAATGTGGGAGTCTCTATTAACATTTGAAATGTACAAATCCTGTGACCTAGTGATTGTGCGACTCAGAATCGCACTAGAGAAACAAGTAAATGTATGCTGGTTATTGTTTCTTGTCCACGCAGTCACCCTTTTATACTCACTCCATGTTACTGGGGCGCTTCTGCTAGACTTCACCAACAGGGCGAACTAGAGGGAAACAAAGGCAAGAGGAAGAAGGGACTTGCTCCATTCTGTGAGCATCATGCCAGCAGCAGCTGCCTTTTACCGTGGCAGGAGCAATTGCTTTAGCCAGCAGGTGGTTTTAATCTCCATCCTTTTTCCAACAATCACAGAATCAGCCGTATTGCACGCCTTACCGATCACAGCAGCAGTCAGTGCTCTCCTCAGAGATCTGAATTCTACCTTCATGGAACCCCTCCCTTGAGCTCCTGAGATAGCCAATGTTTGAGCCACCTCCTCAGGAGTTTGAGCCCCAACACCGTGGGATCCCTTCTTTGAGCTCCAGAGATCCAGCAACAGCCAGCCATCACCCTCTCTACATTCTTCATAGGCCTGAACTAAGGTGTTCAGGGCCCTCCTCCAAGCTTTTAGGTTCTGATGACTCCAACCACTTCTTTTGTTCCATCCTTTCCTAGCTCTAAGAATGGTTAGCTGCTACCTCCAGTGATTACCTGTTACCTTTTATAATTCCTTTTGACCAATTTCCCATATTAAAATATTTCTCAATAACTAATGTGATTTCTGTTTTCCCGACTGGACCCTAATTTTAAAATGCACACAAAAGCCGGGTGTAGTGGCTCACGTCTGTAATCCCAGCACTTTGGGAGGCCGAGGCAGGTGGATCGCCTGATGTCAGGTGTTCGAGACCAGCCTGGCCAACATGGCAAAACCCCATCTCTACTAAAATACAAAAATTAGCTGGGCCTGATGGCAGGCGCCTGTAATTCCAGCTACGTGGGAGGCTGAGGCACAAGAATCTCTCAAACTCGGGAGGTGAATGTTGCAGTGAGCTGAGATCATGCCACTGCACTCCAGCCTGGGTGACAGAGCAGACTCTGTCTCAAAAAAAAAAAAAAAAAAGTCACACAAAGAGACGGATGTTCACAAAAACTTTATAACAGGAAGATATTTGTAAGCAACCTATGCTTATATATTGGAGAATGGCTAAATATATTATATGTATTCAATAGGCTATTACGCAGCATTTAAGAAGAATAAGGTTTATCTGTACATATATAGGAAGAATTATGAGACACATTCTTAAGTAAAAAGCAAATACCAAGTAATATATACAGTATGATACCATTTGTGTTTTTAAAACCCACAACACAATAATATATATATATTTATGCGTATATATAATATAAATACAGAGAATAGGCCGGGTGTAGTGGCTCACACCTGTAATCCCAGCACTTGGGGAGGCTGAGGTGGGTGGATTACATCAGGAGTTCAAGACCAGCCTGGCTAACATGGTGAAACCCTGTCACTACTAAAATACAAAAATTAGCTGGGCATAGTGGCAGGCGGCTCTAATCCCAGCTACTAGGGAGGCTGAGGCAGGAGAATTGCTTGAACCCAGGAGATGGAGGTTACAGTGAGCCAAGATCCCGCCTCTGCACTTCAGCCTGGGCAACAAAGTGAGACTACATCTCAAAAAATAATAATAATAATAATAATACAGAGAATAAAGATCTGCAAGAAAACATACCAGTCTGATCATTGTAGTTAATTTTTGTGGGAAAAAGTGGCAAGAAAAGAGATCAGGGTTATGAGTTACAGTCAAAAGAAACTAAGCCTTATCTGTAAGATTTTATTTTATACAAGGACAACATATTCCTGTATTAATTATGTAGTTAAAAATCAACTCAGGCTGGGCAAGATGACTGATGCCTATAATCCCAGCACTTTGAGAGGCCAAGGTGGGTGGATCACCTGAGGTCAGGAGTTCCAAGACCAGCCTGGCCAACGTGGTGAAACCCCGTCTCTACCAAAAATACAAAAACTAGCTAGGCACGGTGGTGTGCACCTGTAATCCCAGCTACTCGGGAGGCTGAGGCAGGAGAATCACCTGAACCCAAGAGGTAGAGGTTGTACCGAGCTGAGGTCACACTACTGCACTTCAGCCTGAGCAACAGAGCAAGACACTGTCTCAAAAGAAAGAAAGAAAAGAGAAATGTCAATACTTTTAGGCCAAGATTAGAAACTCTTCAGAAATCAGGTTGGGAGTTGAAAAAAAAAAAAAAAGATTTGAAACTCTCCCTTCTTCATTCATGATTATTAATATTATAAATTATTATTTTCACAGATTAAGAGTTATACAACAGAATTATAGTCTTTTTTCCCTAAGTAACTATTGGGCATGACTTACAGATGCCCGATGTTAGAATAATCTTATCCATCCAGACAAGTTTCTGAGGAGGAAAATCAGACATCAAGCACTTAAAAATATATTTCCACATTCTATTTTATTTATTTATTGACCCTCCATACCCAAGTACATTTGAAAAACATCACCATATCCTGTGGCTTTAAAAAATGGCACAGTTGGCTGAAATTCACATGACCTCCTGAGTCTAATCACATCAAATGTTTTTTTCTAAAATTGAAAATTTTCTTTGCTCTTCTATTTTATCAAGAGTGCCACCAAAAAGAATGTCTTATTGATGGTGAATTAAAATTTTCTTCTAGGTTATTCGTCTGAGTTGGAAAATAATTTTTTTTTTTTTTTTTTTTGAGATGGAGTCTTGCTCTGTCACCCAGGCTGCAGTGCAGTGGCAAGCTCCGCCTCCCGGGTTCACACCGTTCTCCTGCCTCAGCCTCCCAAGTAGCTGGGACTACAGGCGCCCGCCACTACACCCGGCTGATTTTTTGTATTTTTAGTAGAGATGGGGTTTCACCGTGTTAGCCAGGATGGTCTCGATCTCCTGACCTCGTGATCCGCCCACCTCGGCCTCCCAAAGTGCTGGGAATTATAGGCATGAGCCACCGCACCCAGAGGAAAATAAATTTTCAGAGTAGACATTTTAAAAGTAAGATGTGTTCAGAAATATTAAAAGTAGTTTGATTTTTAACCCACCAATGCTAATAAAATAGAAATCTATTTTTATTTCATACAAACACATTTTATTGCCCAATATTATCCAGTTCATATCTCATTCCAGACTCATTTGTTTTGTCCTCATTTCCCTCATAAGTTTGGAAGAGTGGAAATGGCTGAACTTCTTAATCCATCAGTTTCAGGAAAGGAGACCCCAGATTTGTGACGGTTGGGTTGTCACTCTCAATGGGACTTTAACCACAAAACTTCTGTGAAAGTCCTTTTTTATGGGATTCAAAACATAAGCTAAGATGATGAGTCATATTTTGGAATCAAACTATATCTCAGAAACCATCTAGTAGCTTTAGAAATCAATGTAACATTTATCAAACTTTCCAAGCTCTTGACCTATTAAGAGCCTATGTCTAGAAACAGCTAAGCAACTGGCGTAAGCTCCACAATAACAGTCCTAGAACCAAAAGGCACTGACTCTCAGTCCATTGTTGCCATTACAATGGAAAAATCACTTTTGGCTCCGTGGCCTGAATGTATAATCACTTGCTTTCCCATCTATTACAACCTCAGTTTGTACTAAACAGGCTGCATAGTACAGAAAAAGGAAAGAAAATTAAAAAGCAAACCTAATCCACAGAATTGTTCACATGTGCTCTGTAAGCCTTCCACACAAATGACACCAGGTTTCCCACCATGCTACACCCAGACAGGAAAAGCTCATTTGCTAGTTCCACAATACCCTTTCTTTTATGTTGGCTAGAGCTCCTCAGCCTGGTGAGAACGGGATCTGGGTGTTGTGCTGTACTTTCTTGGGAGATGGAAGTTGTGGGATCCCTGCTGATATATTCAGAGGCATGTTCTGTAACCCATCCTCTAGCATTCAGTGTACAGACTTCACCACAACAATCACTCTGCAAGTGCACACTGAAATCTGTGTTCAGTAGGGCCTGCTGGGCTTGTTTTAAGGACTTTGACCTGATAAGAACATATTGCTTTCCTAGGTCCTTCAAAAAACACACACAAGTCATTTTTATATACCAAAAAATATAGGTAAGACTGGGCAGAGAATTTCTGTAACACACTTGACAGTAATTTCAGGTAGAGCTTCATGATATTTAAAAGGGAATGCAGAAGTCAGAGAAAGTGTTACCTGAAAATATAGCAGAGTACTCAATAATTTTTCCTCTACACATAATAGATTTGCTTTTTTCTAAAAACTGCAAAAGAAAGTACCATAGCTATATGTTACATCTCCTGGTTTATAGTCACAGGAAACTTTTGAAGATCTCAGCTCCATGGTCCCCTTTTCAATACAATCTTTCACTTCTTCTGTAGCCACCTTGTCATTCACAGTGAACTTTTTCTAACCGGCAAACATACTAGTCAGCAGTTCTAACTCAGACAATCTCAGTCATTCTATAATAATTCACAAGTTCATTCATTCCTTTCCTTCCTTCCTTCCGTCCTTCCTCCCTCCCTCCCTCCCTCCCTCCCTTCCTTCCTTCCTTCCTTCCTTCCTTCCTTCCTTCCTTCCTTCCTTCCTTCCTTCCCTCCCTTACTCCCTCCTTCCTTCCTTCCTCTCTCTTTTTTTTTAAGACAGTTTCACTCTTTTGCCCAGGCTGGAGTGAAGTGAGGTGATCTCAGCTCACTACAACCACCCCCACCCCCAGCACAGGTTGAAGTGATTCTTCTGCCTCAGCCTCCTGTGTACCTGGGATTACAGGAGCAAGCCACCACGCCCAGCTAATTTTTGTATTTTTAGTAGAGACAGGGTTTCGCAATGTTGGCCAGGCTGGTCTCGAACTCCTGGTCTCAGGTGATCCACTTGCCTCGGCCTCCCAAAGTGCTACGATTACAGGTGTGAGCCACTATGCCCAGCTATAATTCACAAGTTTCTAGAGAGGCAAGGGCAAGGGAATTTATACCCACAAACTTGGGAGAACCCAATGGGATAGAAATACGGCTACTTCCAGCCACATGGCTACTTCCAGCCTGGGAAACACAGCATGGTGGCAGGCGTGGTGGCACATGCCTGTGGTCCCAGCTACTCAGAGAGGCTGAGGCAGGAGGATCATTTGAGCCCGGGAGGTCATGGCTGCAGTGAACCGTGATCATACCACTGCACTCCCACCTGGGCGACAGAGTGAGACCCTGTTTCAGAAAAAAAAAATAAAGAAATGTGGCTGCTAGAGAAAATGTATCTGATTACCAAAATTAATCACAGATAGGATTTCCCCTTTATTCTACTTTCAGATATACTTTACCAAGATAAGAAATATAGTGAAATCCAGTGACAGTCATAAAAAATGCTGATAAAACTCAGCATTAATTAATCTTTATTAAACTTGGTGGTACTTTACCTTCAACTGTTATTAAGATGTATTTTTTTTGTGGGGGGACAAATACTTTTTAATGGCTTTTTTTTAACGGCTTTAAAGTTTTTCTTTTTCTTTTTTTCTTTTTCTTTTTTTTTTTAATATACTGGAGAATCACGCAATGCACAATCAGGGGCCACAAGTCTGCACTCTCCTTTGCTACTGGTCCTGTAATGGCAGAACCTTTCATTTCGCCTTTATTACTCACTATGACCCCTGCATTATCTTTGAAATAAACACTTTCCATCTTTTCTCCGGTATGACTTTCATTGTCGAATGACCGCTGCTGGATGTACCATTTTTCTGAGCTCTGGTTTGCCTTTCTTGACTGTGGCCATCACCATGTCACCGACACCAGCAGCGGAAAGTCTGTTCAGCCATCCCTTGATCGCCTTCACAGAGATGATATACAGGTTTTTGGCTCCTGTGTTATCAGCACAGTTGATCACAGCTCCTACTGGAAGACCCAAGGAAATCTGGAATTTCACACCAGAGGACCTACCACGTCCTCGCTTTGACATCTTGAACACTGGAAAGAAGGAAAAAAGTATTTCCAAATTGTTTAAAGCAAACTTCGTATTTAAATAGCAGCAACACTACATAGGTAGTATATGCCAGGAGAGCATTTGTTTGTCAACTGGGATCCCTAGAGAGTCAATTGAGAAAACAAGATATAATAGTTTACTAACATTACAAAATAAATGTACAATAAGAATAATTTCAGTATATATCGGCTATAACTCACCACAATTTAACACGACATTTGGGTGGGGACAAATATCCAAACTATATTAGAGGGATTTAAAAGAAAAGAAGATCGGCCGGGCGTGGTGGCTCAAGTCTGTAATCCCAGCACTTTGGGAGGCCGAGACGGGCGGATCACGAGGTCAGGAGATCAAGACCATCCTGGCGAACACAGTGAAACCCCGTCTCTACTAAAAAATACAAAAAACTAGCCGGGCGAAGTGGCGGGTGCCTGTAGTCCCAGCTACTCGGGAGGCTGAGGCAGGAGAATGGCGTAAACCCGGGAGGCGGAGCTTGCAGTGAGCTGAGATCCGGCCACTGCACTCCAGCCTGGGCGACAGAGCGAGACTCCGTCTCAAAAAAAAAAAAAAAAAAAAAAAGAAAAAAAAAAGAAAATAACCATAATAGTACTAGAGGAATATATAGGTGGATTTCCAGTTCAAAATAGCATCTGCTAGCAGCCTCTCCCAAATTCACACACACGCACAAACACACACACACACACAAATTGATGAAAACATTGAAGAAGACAGAAACAGCATGACTAAAACTAAAACTGATGAAAAACAGATTTTCAGAATCTAGAAGGAAACTGTAATACTGAGTCTGGACTCAGGAAGTCAAGAAGGCAGGAAGGAGATACAGGTACATGTATATATATTTCCCTACCACATAAAACTGTGTCCTTTCTTGCTGGTCTAACCCCTACTCCCATCTGCCCTACAAAGCCCTTCCTTCCCACATATTCTTTGGAATTGTAGCTCTGTGATTAGCCAGTATTCACCCTCAACACTTGTTCACAGGTTGGCTAATGACAGTGCTTCCACAGCAGCATCTCATGAGTGCTGTTTATCATTTAAAATCCCACCTACCTCAGGGGTCTGCAGATAAGAATAGGATCCTCTTTGCTTCTACTTTCCTTAAAACAATAAATCATTCTTTTCAGGCTGCTGTAAACAGAATACACCTTCTGACATCTGTCCTCTTACCAGCCTCCTGGTCATACCCTTGTAGTCTCTAAACACTTAACACTTGGCTCTCCACCCTCATTCCAAACATCATCCTGGACGGTCTTTTTAAAGTCCTGATTAGGTTCATGTGGCATATCTGTCCACTGCTTGGCCTCTCAGTTATAAAAATCTTCATCTCTCATATCCTTTTCCTCTATTCAACTTCATCTGCCACTCCACAGTCACATCCTGATATTACTACTTACATTTTCCCAATTTCACCCCACTCTTGGGTCACGATCCCCTCTTGCCAGATTCCTCATTTAACTGTTTCCACCTAGACATTCTTCAAGGAAATCTTGACCTTGCATTGGCCCTTATATTTTCTCCTTAACACTAAGGACTCTTTTCTCTTTACTCCCTTCATTGTTCACTTTAGATTTCATGATCTTTTGTATCAGTCACTCTCTTGCCAATACCACAAAGTCTCTTGTACATCTGCTCCTTCAGCCTATTCATCTGGAGAAACCAAACACTACACAAAGCCAATTATTTGTTTTCAGCTTTTTTTTTTTTCCAGAGAAAAGTTTAACACTGCCTGGAAAACTAACAATGTAGTCAACAGAAGCTTTAGACCACTAAGAATTAATGATCCCATGCCTTAGTTGTGTCTTCATTACAGCCCAACAAATGTACCACACTTCTGTAATTTTCTAGGACTCCCAGTAATTATTTGAACACTTCTTCAAAACTCTGACCATTCTACCTTCCTCCTTGACTTAAACAGATGAGTTTTCCTCCAATTTCACAGGACAAGATAATCAGATTATAATCCTTATCTTTCCAACAGCAAACATATAAATTGGACTGATGATTATTATACACCGTTTAACTTAAATGGTTGTTAAAATAGTAAAATTCTCTGATACCCTCTGAAATGTTTTCATTGCCCTTGCCATTTCCCTAGGACTTCTCTGACCTTCCCCTGATTCCTGGCTAAAGTGTTAATTGTTGATTTATCAGTCTTCCAAAACCCCATTCCAGCCCTAGACATGTGGCTAGTCCAATGGATGGTGATCAGGTCATGTTGGTTGTTAACTACGTTGAATATCATCCCTTCCCATGAACTTTCCTTGCATCTTCAACTATAGTCCTCCATAATTCTGCTAAAAAAAGAAGTATTAAAAGACGGGGGCGCGGGGGGGGATGAATGCACAAGGCTAGTCATTGCTGCACCATTTCTTTTCTTTTTCTTTCTTTCTTTTTTTTTTTTTTGACAAGGAGTCTCGCTCTGTCACCCGGGCTTCAGTTCAGTGGTGTGATCTCAGCTCACTGCAACCTCCGCCTTCCGGGTTCAAGCGATTCTCCTGCCTCAGCCTCCTGAGTAGCTGGGATTACAGGCGCCTGCCACCACACCTGGCTAATTTTTTGTATTTTTAGTAGAGGCAGGGTTTCACCATGTTGGCCAGGCTGGTCTCGAACTCCTGACCTCAGGTGATCCACCCATCTTGGCCTCCCAAAATGGTGCGATTACAGGCGTGAGCCACCACACCCGGCCTAATTTTTTTATTTTTTAAATTTTAATTAATTAATTATTATTATTATTATTATTTGAGATGGAGTCTAGTTCTGTCGCGCAGGCTGGAGTGCAGCGGCACGATCTCGGCTCACGGCTCCGCCTCCCGGATTCACACCATTCTCCTGCCTCAGCCTCCGGAGTAGCTGGGATTACAGGCGTGAGCCACCACGCCCGGCCCTAATTTTTTTTTTTTTTCTTTTTAAAGAAAACCCTACATATACACACATGCAAAAATAGGATACTAGAAAATAAAATGTAAAACCAAAATTTAATATTGTCTTTTTGGACATGGGATTGTGGGTGACTTTAAAATCCAGCTATTTCTACTCTTCCTATAATGATATATATTATGTGTAATCATATATGTAATACATATGTTTAATACGTTATATATAACATATAAATAATATATATAATTTGTTGGCGGGAGAAACGAGGGAGAGCAGGTTTTCAAAATCCGAAAAGCCAAATGCCCCCCAGTGGGGAAAAAAGCCTCGATTTCCGTAATTCCCTGGTTAAAATGGAGGAACACCTTGGACTTCGAAGGCACTACCTGGGTCCCAGGGTGCACCATTCCTCTAATCCCCCAGTTGCAGCAACATCTGGGAAGTCCCGAGAATGGGAATCGATGCCTCTTTTTCCGAAGATAGTAAGCGTCAACAACAAAAAATAAACAAAAAGTCCAACTCGGCCCCAAAGCAGCATCTGGCTGGCCTGCGAGATGCCCACTCAGCAGGCGAGTCCGCAGCTTAGGACTCAAGCCCGTGTTCGGAAGCTATAGCCGAGATCCGAAAGGCAGCGCTCGCAGCTGCAGTGACCCGCCCCGCCCATAAGTCCTGGTGCTCACAGCATCCCGGAAACCCACGCCTAGTGCTTCCGGGCCACGTCGGCCCAGGAAGCGCACGCGCGAAGTATGGTGAGCTTCACTACGCGCTCTTAGGCTGCCTGTGGGGCCTGCGAGTGCTCGGGAGCTGCCGGGGTCACAAGAGAAAGCCTAGCTGTCGATGACAGCCCCAGAGCGCCTGGGAGCCTTGCGATACCCGGGTGTCTGTAGGCAGCCAGCAGACACTTCCACGCTGATCTGGAATCTTCCCTCGCCCGGCTCTGCCCCTCACAGGGATGGCAAAGGACTTTACGACCTACATCCCTTCCCCGATCTGATTGCTTCAGATGGGCAGATTGTGTTTAAGTGGAATGCTTGTGGTGCCCCTTTGCTGAGTTTTTATGGACTCAGTTTTCTCAAGTAGTTCTAATAATCGCTGGGGGTAGGGGGGTGGGGCGGGAACGTAATTTCTGCATCTGCCCTTAAATACCTTTAAACCTTGGCTGCATTGTCGCTTTTATGGAATTTCACCAATGGTCTGTTATTTTTTAGTTTCCCTGATACACATCTTTCTTAATAACAAAATAAATAGCACTTTGGGAGGCCAACGCGGACGGATTACCTGAGGTCCGGAGTTCAAGACCAGCCTGGCTAACATGGTGAAACCCCCATCTCTACTAAAAATACAAAAAATTAGCCGGGTGCAGTGGCGCGCGCCTGTAATCCCATCTACTCGGGAGGCTGAGGCAGAATTGCTTGAACCTGGGAGGCAGAGGTTACCGTGAGCCGAGATCACGCCACTGCACTCACACTCCAGCCTGGGCTACAGAGCGAGACTTCCTCTTCAAACAAACAAACAAAAACAAAATAAAACAAAGCATGTGGCCAATATTCCCTGCCAGTACTTGTTTTCTTTAGAAAATGTAACTTTTAAACATAATTTGACTTGAAACGGTTTTTCAGGATTTATCATTTTTTATAGGTGATTCCAGTTCAAAATAGTTACTACATTAATATGTTGATAAATCGTCATTGCTGAACAAATTTTTTTATGTGCAATCATACAGAACATTTTATATTTAAGGATGTTTATATATCAAGTATATAATCATTGGTAGAAACTGGGCAGGGCGCGGTGGCTCACGCCTGTAATTCCAGCACTTTGAGAGGCTGAGGCAGGTGGATCATCTGAGGTCAAGAGTTCAAGACCAGCATGGCCAACATAGTCAATCCCCGTCTCTACTAAAAATCCAAAAAGTAGCGAGTGTGGTAACACGCACCTGTAATCTCGGCTACTTGGGAGAATGAGGTGGGAGAATCACTTGAACCCCAGGTGGCGGAGGTTGCAGTAAGCCAGGATTGCACTACTGCACTCCAGCCAGGGTGACAGATCCAGACAGAGTCTGTCTCCAGAAAAAAAAAAAAGAAACCTAAGAAAGCTATATTGCTTATACTCTTAACATTTCTAACATTTCACTACATTTATCCATTCTCAAAGGAACTTTCTCATCACAAGATTGGAAAATCTGTACTTCCCTGGCTTAGTATGACTTAATCATAAACGTCTAAATTTGACTGATGTCCCAGGAAATAAAACTTGTAAAACTACTCTGTTGCATTCTATGTGTTTATGTGACATTTGAGATCTGCATATTATGCATAGCAATCTGGTTTTTAATATAATGTACAGAAACTGAAAAAGTTTTAGCGGTTTAGTTGCCACTTTAGCTGCTTAAAGTAATATATGCATCATCTGCCCCCTTTGGTGGTAGGAATGTCAGATTCCATTCTCTGTAGGGTATTTCATACAAATCTGTTAGTCACTGGAGGAATCAGAAACTAGACACACAACTGGTCCATCTGGCTGTCTGGTGGCAGCAGAGGAACTGGGATTTCCAGGGCAACTGACAGGGCAATAGGAATGGGCAGCAGGGAGGAAATCTGGGGAGGTACATAAGGTTTAGGTCCAATACAAGCACTGTGCTTTAAATACCATTCTGACCCTCATTTATGTTTAATAACCTTTATATTTAAGATCTATCCACATTGCCTTCTTCCATTTTATTCCTTCAGATTTCTACATTGTATTACATAATATATGCTATCTTTCACTTACTGATTCATTTTGTGATAAGCATAGTTTGCCTCCAACTTTTTACTAACTTAATGCATTGTTTCTCACCCCAACTCCATTCCTCAACCAAGTCTGACTGGTCAAGAAATATCCAACACCTGGTATCAACCTGCGTGCTAGCAAATTAATAAATAATAAATGCTTTTGGAACCAATTTATGGAGGTCCTTAAAAACTGAGTGGTGTGTTTAATGGTAGGTCAAAATTTGGCAAAAAGAAGTATACGGAAAGCCATTTCCAGAACAAAAAAATGTCAGAATACAATTTGCCAAATAAATCTTCTAAATTACTAATTTGATGAATTGTTGACGCTTGTTAAAAAAGTTTAAGCCCTACTCGTGCCTCAGCCTTGTCTGAGGCAAGCCCAGGAACAGGGGCAGAGCGTGAGTATACAAAACGAGACGAACTGCAAACTCCACTTCAGAAAAACTTCACCTATTTATGTATCAAAAGGCTGGGGTAAATGCAAAACTAAAGCTCTGAAAAACTCTATTTGACAAACTAGCTTTCAACTGCTAGTAAAAAGCCTAGAAATTGGCTGGGCGTGGTGGCTCATGCCTGTAATCCCAGCACATTGGGAGGCCGAGGCGGGCGATCACCTGAGGTCAGGAGTTCGAGACCAGCCTGGCCAACATGGGGAAACCCCGTCTCTACTAAAAACACAAAAATTAGCCAGGCATGGTGGCAGGCCCCTGTAATCTCAGCTACTCGGGAGGCCGAGGCAGGAGAATCGCTTGAACTTGGGAGGCGGAGGTTGCAGTGAGCCGAGATCGCACCATTGCACTCCAGCCTGGGTGACAGAGCAAGACTCCGTCTATTAAAAAAAAAAAAAAAAGCCTAGAAATTAAACAAAACTGGTTTTATTTCATAAGACGTCTAGAGATAGGCAGTGGCTGGTGTTGGGTCAGCAGCTCAACAACATGGCAACTGGCATCTTCGTGGTTCTCTTAGTCCTTCCTTCTATCATAGTTCAAATAACTCCTCCAGCTCCAGCCATCACTTTGGCGTTTATAAAAGTAAGAGGGGGAGGAGGTGGCCTAGCTGCATATGTTTCTTTAATCAGGAAGCAAAAGTTTTCCCAGAATTCCCAAGGCCAAAGCTGTGTCCTGAGGCCACTGAGAGTTGTTAGTTGCAACAGAGGCTGAAAGGGAAACAATTAGCTTTTCTGGGTTCTTTAGTGAAGGCAGGTAAGGGAGAAGGGGGTTGGGAATGGCTGGCAAATTGGAGCACCAACATCACCTTTGTGGATCATTTCTTTTTCAAAATGGGCAGCTGATATGTGAAGAAATATCTAACAATTTTAAGGTTGTAATTTAAAACTCAGTTCTGCTTTCAATCATGACATTTTTAACAGATGCATTTCAGCTATACTATTTTTTCTTGTCCCCCACTCCCCAACGTTCTAGAATGGAACTAAAATAAAATTACTTACTTAATCTTTCAAGAAAAAGTGGGAAAAAAAATCAAAAGACTAACAGTGACAAGATACTTTCAACTACTCTTACTGTCATTGTCCTTCTACACCAAAAAACATCTGGAAAACATCCCCACATCCTTTGGCATTTAAGAACTGATAGAGCTGACCAAAGTCCATGTGGTTTCCCCTGGCTCCATTAACACTGAACACTTTTTCTTCAAAAATGGAAAATTTCCTTTGTCTTTCCATTTCATCATTTGTACCATCAAAAGGAATGTCTTCTCGATGGCGGATTAAAATTCTCTTCCAGTTTAATTTTCTGAGTCTGAAAAGAAATTTCCAAAGTAAACATTTTCAAAATGTATAGAGCACATAAAACAGAAGTTATAAAACAGACTTATCAATGCCTTTTCCTAGAAGTAGTCTACTTTTTAAAATTTTTATAACTTTTGTTTATTTAGTAGAGACAGGTCTTGCTATGTTGCTCATGTTGGTTTCAAACTCCTGGCTGCAATTGATATGCTGCCTCAGCCACCCACAGTGCTGGGATTACAGGTGTGAGTCATCACACCCCACCCAAGAAACCTACTTTTATCTCAGAGGGATTTATTTTAATCAAATATGATTCTGGTCATAATCCCATCCCCAAACTCATTTGTTGCCCTTACTACGGCCTTGTATCAGTAGTTTAGAAATGTAGGAATTACTGAATCCCAAACTATTAATGGATATTCTCAGAAATTCATTTAGGATATCAGTAGAGAAATGAGAAGACTAGTGGCAACTCTAGTGCTTCTAAAAAGCCCCTTACTTCATAGGGTATACAGTTTGCAGCATCACTAAGATAAGGGAAGGATCAGATCCATGGAAGTGGATGGGGTCATAGTGTCTTGGGCAGGAGCTCAATTCATTCAGCGTATATTTACAGAATGTCTCCTATATGTACTTGTCAGGTGAGGGGGAAAATGCTGACTACATGCGATTTCTGCCGTATCTATCAACTTGAGATTGAATCCCCATAAAGATACAACCCCCGGGACATACTTATCTCCAAATCTCTAATAGTCATGTGTTGCTCAACAATGGGGATACATTCTGAGAAATGTATCTTCAGGTTATTTTGTCATTGTACCACCACGATAGAGTGTACTTACACAAACCTAGATGGTACTTTTTTTGTATTTATATTTTTTCATATAGAAAAGCAAATGTCCCAGCACGATTATTGAATATCACTCTGATATTCAATAGTGGGAAGATCAAGTGCCATGTATCAGGTTTCTATATGTGCTCCATTATAATCCTATGGCACCACTGTTTTATGTGTGGTCCACTGTTGAGCAAAACATTACTAGGCAGCACATGACTGTATCTTGTTTACTATTAAAATTTTTGACATGACTTCACATACATATGTGAAAGCAAACCTTGACCAGAATTCTTCACAGGCACTTTGTGGGCCTTCCACACAAACAACACCAGGTTTTCCAGGCATGCTAAACCCAGACAGGGAAAGCTCCTTTGCCCACTCTAGAATATTCTTTCTTTTGCATTTGTTGTAGATATGATGGCTGTAGATCCAGAGTCTTGTGAAGATGAGGTCAACTGACTGGACTGTGCTTCCTGTGGGGGGTGAAGATGAAGTATCTCTGCTGACATAGCCAGACGCGTGTTCTCTAACCCACTCCGTGGCATTCAGTATACAAACATCTCCATGACAATGTTTTTGCAGGAATGCAGTCAGATCTGTGTTCAGCTGAGTCTGCTGGGATCTACTCAATATTACTGATCTAACAGAAAAGATATAAGAAAACAATTGTCTGGGAACAGAAAACAAATTCAAGAGTTGCTTTTATTCTCAGATTAATTTGACCTCCAAAGTTGGCCAGAACTTCTGTAACGTACCTGACAGTAATTTCAGGCAGAACTGCTGGGTATTTAAAAGGAAGAATACAGGCCAGAGAAAACATCGCCTGATTAAAGAGAAGAAGAAAAAGTGCACTAACCAATGTTTTAAGTCTCAACATGTTTCAATCCTTCCAAAAGCAAAACTGAATTACCATTGCTTCCTCAGATACATCCAGGTTCATATTGATAGTAAAGTAAACTTTTGAAGATCGCCCCTCCATTGTCTTCTTTTCAATACAATCTTTCAGTTCTGCTACAGCCAGTTGGTCATTTACTATGAGCTCATTCTCACCAGGGAACATACTGGCTAGCAGGTCTAACTCAGCAAGCTGGGCCTCCGCCTGCTCTATCTCAATCATTTTTGGACATGTGTAAGTTTCTAAGGAGGTAAAGACAAGAGAGACAATTTACATATGCAATCTTAGAAGAAATGAATACATCAACAAGGGTACTTACTAAAATTGTATTTGATTTCTTCGTAAATTGTACAATTTAATTAGTCTCTTCCCCATCACTCTACTTTCAGATATAATATACTAAGTCCTATGCTAAGACCAGCCTGGGCAACATACTGAGACCATCTATAAAAAAACAAACACAAAAAACTTTTAATAGTAAGTAGACACCACATTCTTCTGTGTCTAGATAGTTGAGCGGACATTTTGAGCTACCATAAATGGGCAATTTCATCATAGTAAACCAATTATGTAGTCAAAAAGCTGTATCAATAATGTAGCCAGAAGAGAGGACATAACTGGTTACACTGGAAACCTAGAATGTACAGAATAAGTCAGAGAGTTTGATTATCTGAACGGTCAGTTTCTTAAGTAAATATTGTTTATTAGTTTTTTTTGAGACAAGGTCTAGCTCTGTTACCCCAGCTGGAGTGCAGTGGCATGATCCCCGCTCACTGCAACCTCAACCTCCCACGCCCAAGCAATCCTCCCACCTCAGACTTCTGAGTAGCTAGGACCACAGGTACGCACTGCCACGCCTGGCTTCATTTTTTATTTGTAGAAACAAGGTCTTGCTATGTTGCTCAGCCTGGTGTCAACCTCCTGGGCTCAAGCAATCCTCCTGTCTTGGCCTCCCCAAGTGCTAGCATTACAGGTATGAGCCAATGAGCCACTGTGCATGGCATTTATGAGTTTTTCTTTTTTTTTTTTTCTTTTTTTTTTGAGACAGAGTCTCGCTCTGTCGCCCAGGCTGGAGTTTAGTGGCACGATCTCGGCTCACTGCAAGCTCCGCCTCTCAGGTTCATGCCATTCTCCTGCCTCAGCCTCCGGAGTAGCTGGGACTACAGGTGCCCACCACCACGCCCAGCTAATTTTTTGTATTTAATAGAGATGGAGTTTCACCATGGTGGTCGGGCTGGTCTCAAACACCCGACCTCAGGTGATTCACCTGCCCCCTCGGCCTCCGAAAGTGCTGGGATTATAGGTGTGAGCCACCTCACCTGGCCTCATGACAATGTTTTCTTTGCTAACCACTGACTTCGTATAATGTTATATCCCACTTTTGTAACTTGATATCGTAACAAACATTTGGTGGTGGTGTTTTTTTTGTTTTTGTTTTTTTTTGAGACAGAGTCTCGCTCTGTCGCCTAAGCTGGAGTGCAGTGGCACCATATCCGCTCACTGCAAATTCTGCATCCCAGGTACACGCCATTCTCCTGCCTCAGCCTCCCGAGTAGCTGGGACTACAGGTGCCCGCCACCACGCCCAGCTATTTTTTTTTTAAATTTTCTGTAGAGACGGGGTTTCACCATGTTAGCCAGGATGGTTGAGATCTCCTGACTTCGTGATCCACCCGCCTCCACCTCCCAAAGTGCTGGAATTACAGGCGTGAGCCACCACACCCAGCCCCCCTCTTTTTTTTTTTTTTTTTTTTTAACAAAATCCTCATACATACTTAAAATCCCTGGACTTATTGGAATTCCATAGACGTATTTGCTAGTCTGTTTTGGAGTTGAGAAACACAGAAAACAACTTCTTGGGTGGTTATTAGAGGAAGTGCATTTACTTTGTTTTTTGTTGGAGTGGCTCTGTTACCAGTGTTTGGATTCTATTACCAGATTGCCAAGGTGCAACTCCAGGCTCTGCCACTTACCAACTGCACGACCTTAGGCAAGTGGCTTAATTTATCTGTGCTTTAGTCTCCCCAACTCCGTAACTGGGATGAGAGGGTTGCTGTGATGATTAGATGAGAATTTGTGGAAAGTGCCTGGCAACAAAGTAAATTTTATGTGTGCTTGCTGCTATTATTATTAATTTAAAAACCTTTTTTTTTTTTTGAGACAAGGTCTAGCTCTGTCACCCAGGCCAGAGTGCAGAGTTGGTTCACTACAACCTCTGCTTTCTGGGTTTTTTAGTAGAGATGGGGTTTTACCACATTGGCCAGGCTGGTCTTGAACTCTTGCCCTTGTGATCCACCCGCCTTGGCCTCCCAAAGTGCTGGGATTACAGGCATGAGCCACGGTGTCGGGCCGCTTATTACTATTATTATTATTGGTCATCATTTCTTTTTTTGTTTGTTTTTGAGACGTAGTCTTGCTCTGTCACCCAGGCCGGAGTGCAGTGGCACGAACTCGGCTCACTGCAAGCTCCGCCTCCTGGGTTCACGCCATTCTCCTGGCTCAGCCTCCCAAGTAGCTAGAACTACAGGTGCCCGCTACCATGCCCGGCTAATTTTTTGTAGTTTTGGTAGAGATGGGGTTTCACTGTGTTAGCCAGGATGGTCTCAATCTCCTTTATCTTGTGATCCACCCGTCTCGGCCTCCCAAAGTGCTGGGATTACAGGCGTGAGCCACCAAGCCCGGCCTGGTCATCATTTCAACAAATGTTTCTAAAGCACTTACGTTCAAGCATTGGCACTAAGATAACAATGAATGAAAGTAATAAAACAACTCTACTGGTGGGAGGATACCATGACATCAAAAACAAATTTATATGCCCAGCCCAGGTGCGGTGGCTCACGCCTGTAATCACAGCACTTTGGGAGGATGAGATGGGCGGATTACCTGAGGTCAGGAGTTTGAGACCAGCCTGGCCAACATGATGAAACCCCATCTCTACTAAAAATACAAAAATTAGCCAGGTGTGGTCGCACACGCCTGTAGTCCCAGCTACTAGGGAGGCTGAGGCAGGAGAATCACTTGAACTGGGGAGGCAGAGGTTGCAGTGAGCTAAGATCATACTACTGCACTCCAGCCTGGGCAACATGTGAGACTGTTTCCAAAAAAACAAAAAAGAATTTTTATATCCAGTAAATAACTGCTGTGAAGAAACCTGAAGAAAACAAGGACAAGGGAAACAATAAGGCAGCAGGGGGGTGAGACTGCACAAGGGGTCGTCAGGAAAGGCCTTTCTCCTAAGGTGACTGTAGGGAAGAGACTTTAAGGAACTGAAAAGGAGGCCATGTGTTTTTCTTGGCCAAGAGTGTTCGAGGGAAAGTGAACAGCATGTTCAAATGCCTTGAGGTAGGAGGGTGCTAGAGCAGCTGGCCAGCGCACAGTGAGCTGGGGACAGGGGGAATGAAAGAGTTTAGTAAGGAAAGGTGGGGCAGTTTATGTTGGGACTAGTAAAGCATGGCCAGAATTTTGAATTTTATCCCGACTGATACGTAAGAGCTACAAGAGAGGTTTGACTTACGAAGATCCCCACACTTGCTGCTACGGGGAAAAGTGAAAGGAAAAGTGGGGTAACCAGATAGACACCGCAATAACTAGGGAGAGAGGATGGTGGCTTGGATAGGATTATAGTGGTCAAGTTGGTAAACTTCAGGTTCTGGATACATGGAGAGAAAAGAGGCAACAGGATTTACAGATGAATTACATGAGACACGGAAGAATGACTCCAAGGCGTTAAGCTACTGAAAGTATGGATGTGCCATTTATTTGGACGGTGTGGTCATGGAGAGCTTCAGGAGAGCTTCATGGAGAGCTGAAGTAATGAAGCGCCTACTAAGACACTGTTAGTTAAATAGAGATGCCTAGCATGCAGTTAGATATACAGTTTTGGAGTCTACGAGAGACTGAGCTACAGATATAATTTTGGGAGTCAACACTTATTTGGAGCTATATATTTGTTTAAAGTCTCCCAGGGAGTGAGCAAAGTCGGGAGAGGGTCCTATCGAATTGCAGGTAGCAAAGATGAAATGGAATAGCGAAGAAGTACGGGACGGAGGGACTCTTGAATGGATAACTACGGGAGTGATGTCACAGGTCATTTATCTGCCAAACTATTTTCGCTTAAGAGATTTCAGTCCTTCCAAAAAACCCTCAAGATAATTTTATGACTCAAGATTTCAGCGAATGCTGTAAGGAAATAGACTGTAGCCGGGCGCGGTGGCTCACGCTTGTAATCCCAGCACTTTGGGAGAAAGGGGGATTGCTTAAGCCCAATTGTTCAAGACCAGCCTGGCTAACACAGGGAGACCTCGCCTTTACTATTATTTAAAATATATATATATATTTAAGAGAACGTAGACTGAAACTTGCTATTTCTGAGTGGAATAATATCTTTTCCTTGCAGATTTTTTTTTTTTTGAAAAACGGAGCACGGTACCCCGCGACCCAAGCCACGAAGCTCTCAGGAAGAATGCCCAGCACGCAGCCACCCTCGCACCCTGATTGCCCTCGGGGCGAGGTCGCCGGCTGGAGCGGGGCTGCTGAAGCCGGGAAGCAACGCCGAGGTCCAAACCGACCGATGGGCGCCTGCAGTGAGGGGAGGCGGGCAGCCATGCCGGGAACGTTCCCAAAGTGTTGCGCCCGGCGCTGCAGCGTGGGAAACCCCCGTGACGCTCGCCACTGGCGCTGAGGCGAGACTAACCTTGAGTCGCGGCCCCCTCACTGCTGTAACCCGGGTTCCATGGCTGCACGGACAGCTCAATTTTCACCGGAAGGAAACCTCAAAATTCTAGTATACTGCGACCCAAAACTCACAAACCGCCTCACCTAGCGGCCTATCAGAAAAAACAAGGCGCACGGCGCATGCGCGCGCAGGGCCGCGGCCGGAAGCTAGAGCTGGCCGGTCGGGCGCCGGGTCCGCCAGTGTTTGTGTACGCAGCTGGAACGACTAAGGGAATGCTTTGTCCCTGCTAGGTACTTCTCAGTCGCAGAGTTTTCTTCTTCTTCTTCTTTTTTTTTTTCTTTTTTTTTTTGAGACGGAGTCTCGCTCTGTCCCCCAAGCTGGAGTGCAGTGGCGCGATCTCGGCTCACAGCAGCCTTCGCCTCCCGGGTTCGGGTTCAAGCGATTCTCCTGCCTCGGCCTCCCGAGTAGCAAGGATTACAGGCGCCCACCACCCTGCCCAGATAATTTTTGTATTTTTTAGTAGAGACGGGGGTTTCACCATGTTGGCCAGGCTGGTCTCGAACTCCTGACCTCAGGCGATCCGCCACCCCTGGCCTCCCAAAGTGCTGGGATTACGGGCCTGAGCCACCGCTCCCGGCTGGAGTTTTTCTTCTTAATAACTCTCCATGCCAACCCCGTTGTCATTTCCCAGCGGCTGCCACTGTCAGTCTATATAGTGGGCTCTTTTCAGGGACAAATAATCGGTCCGTTAATGCTCCTCAAACTCGAACGTGCCTAGGAATAGTTCGGGAATCCTGTTGAAATGCAGATCAAGATTCGGTAGGTAGGGGCGGGGGTCCAAATTTTGCATTTCTAGTATCTTCCCACACAGTGGTGATCCTCCTTGTCCCTGAATCATGGAGGAGGAGGGCAATTAGGGAGATCTGAGCCTGGATGCATGGTGGCCTTAGCTATTTTAGGTGTTCTCGCCCATTAACCAAGCTGGGAGGAACCGTGTGAATGCATATTTTTCCCTCTTAATAAAAGGGTAGTTTGAAGGAGATGCTGACAGGAGGGTAATTGGAAATGTTTTTCTTCCCAATCCAACTATATGGAATACACCTTATAATATTTATTTTAGAAGTGTCATGGATAAGATTTGTAAACACTGACATTTAGCAATACTAAATATCACTGCTAGCTCTCCCCCCCCACCCCTGCCGCTTTTTTTTTAAACAAAAAGACGACAGTATGTATTGTAGGTGTTCATAAACTACATCTTCTGCATGGTGTTTCATGAGCATTTTTCAATGTAATAATTTATTTTTTCCTCCAACATTTATTATGAAAAAATTCAAGTGTAAAGCAAAGTCGAGAGAATTTTACAGTGGAGCAGATCTCAAAAGAAGGGGAAGGACGGATTTCCCCTCTATTTAGCAGTGTCTGAAGACATTTTGGGTTGTCACAACTGGAAGGATGCTATTGGCATGGAGTAGGTAGAGCCCAGGGATGCTCCTCAACTTCCTACAATGAACAGGACATCCCCTGACGATAACAAATTTGCTGGTTCAAAATGCTGATAAGTGTTGAGGTTGAAAAACACTGACCTGGAGAGTATAGAATTTTACTCTACCAGCTTTGTCACATATCTCATCAATCCATCTGTTTTCATACATTTCAAAGTAAACTGCAGACAGTACCTTCTAAGTATCTCTAATGTACATCATTCAAATTAGTTTTTGTTTTGTTTTGTTTTGTTTTTGAGACGGAGTCTCGCTCTGTCGCCCAGGCTGGAGTGCAGTGGCGCCATCCCAGCTCACTGCAACCTCTGCCTCCTGGGTTCACGCCATTCTCCTGCCTCAGCCTCCCAAGTAGCTGGGACTACAGGCGCCCGCCACCACGCCCAGCTAATTTTTTGTATTTTTAGTAGAGACAGGGTTTCACGGTGTTAGCCAAGATGGTCTCGATCTCCTGACCTCATGATCCACCCACCTTGGCCTCCCAAAGTGCTGAGATTACAGGCATGAGCCACCGCCCCGGCCCAAATTAAGGGTTTTAAAGGTAAAAATGAAATGTATACCTTAAATACACGAGTTTTTAAATGCATACACCTATGGAACTCAAGCCATATTAACGTATAGAACATTACCATCACCCCATAAAGTTCTTTCATGCCCTTTCTTAGTCCCCATCCAGTTCTCCCCAAAGGTAACCACTGTTCTGATTTTTTTTCCCCACCATACTTATTTTTCTTGTTCTGGAACTTCATATGGTTGGAGTCATGCAATAGATATTTTTGTGTAAGGGTTCTTTCACTCAGGGAAATATTTTCATCTGTTATCATGTGTATCAGTTTCTTTTGATTGCTCAGTAGTATTCCATCATATGAATATACCAGTTCCATTCTTGTTTTGATAGAAACCTGGGCTATCTTCAGTTTTTTGGCTATTATAAATAAAGCAGCTGCGAACATTCTTGTACAGCATTTTATTTCTCATGACTATTTCTTTTCAATAAATATTTATCGAGCACTTACTATATTCCAGGCACTTGCAGGTACTAATTATAGCCATGAACAACACAAAGATGTTGCATCTCTCAAAGACCTTATATTTGCACATTTCTGTGTATGGATGAAGAGGGCTAAACATAAAGGTAAAAATAAAAGAAAATTATGGGCCGGGCACAGTGGCTCACACCTGTAATCCCAGCACTTTGGGAGGCCAAGGCAGGCAGCTCACTTGAGGTTGGGAGTTCGAGACCAGCCTGACCAACATGGAGAAACCCGGTCTCTACTAAAAATACAAAACTTAGCTGGACATGGTGGCACATGCCTGTAATCCCAACTACTGGGGAGGCTGAGGCAGGAGAGTCGCTTGAACCCGGGACGCAGAGGTTGCTGTGAGCTGAGATCACGCCATTGCACTCCAGCCTGGGCAACAAGAGCAAAACTCAGTCTCAAAAAAAAAAAAAAAAAAGAAAAGAAAATTATGGCCAGGCATAATAGCTCATGCCTATAATCCCAGCACTTTGGGAGACCAAGGAGGATCACTTGAGCCCAGGGTTTGAGACCAGTTTGGGCAACAGAGACCCCTGTCTCTACAAAAAATACAAAAATTAGCCAGATGTGGGGTCCTGTGCCTGTAGGCCTGTAGTCCCAGCTACTCAGGAGGCTGAGGTAGGAGAATTGCTTGAGCCTGGGAGACTGAGGCTGCAGTGAGCTGTAACTGCACTACTGCACTCCAGCCTGGGCAACAGAGTGAGACTCTGTTTCAAAAAAAAAAAGAAAGAAAATTACCAGATAGTGGATAATTGCTGGACAGAGAAGTAAGGTGATGTGAGTGATCAGATGACTGTGTTACCTAGATTGCCCTGTAACTGGAAGGAAGTGACTTTTAAGGCATGTATAGAGGTTGGATGCGGTGACTCACACCTGGAATCCTAGTGCTTTGGGAGACTGAGGCTGGAGTATCGCTTGAGGTCAGGAGTTTGAGACCAGCCTGGGCAGCAAGCTTTTGCAGAGACACGGTGACTTCAAAAAATCAAAAAGTTAGCTGATGGGGTGGCACACACTTGCAGTACCAGCTACAGGAGGCTGAGGTGTGAGGATCACTTGAGCACAGGAATTCAAGGTTACAGTGAACTATGATTGCACTTTAGTCTGGGCTACAAAGCCAGACCCTGTCTCTAAAATAAGTAAATTAAAAATAAGGTATGAACAGAATGACAATAAGATACCAACCCCGGAAGATGAAGGGGAAGAGCCTTTCAGACAGGAAGCACATGGTACAATGACCTTAAGGCTCTGTTTTAAAATGGGTGGGGGCAAAAAGCCTGCATTTCTGGAGCTTGGAGAATAAAGCTTTAAAAAATTATCTCATCCCACTCCTGTTCTTTCTTGCATGAGAGCTGGAGCCTATGCCCTACCACACATCCGTGGATATGCCCAGGATTTGACTTGAGCCTTGGAACTTTGCATAATAGCTGCTACTAACTTTTTGAGATAATACATTCGTGGGGGCTCAGTCCTGCCTCATCTAAATCACCAGAGACCAAACAAGGATGAGCCCAATATCTCTTGGACTTTAATGTCATAATGTTGTCAGAATAAAGTGAAAGATGAAACTAAGCTGGGCGCGGTGGCTTACACCTGTAATTCAGCACTTTGGGAGGCTGAGGCAGGTGGATCACTTGAGGCCAGGAGTTCAAGACCAGCCTGGCCAACATGCTGAAACCCCACCTCTACCAAAAACTACAAACGTTAGCTGGGTGTGGTGGGGTGGCATGTGCCTATAATCCCAGCCACTCAGGAGGCAGAGGCAGGAGAATGGCTTCAACCCGGAAGGTGGAGGTTGCAGTGAGCTGAGATCGTGCCACTGTACTCCAGCCTGGGCAGCAGAGTGCAAGCCAGTCTCAAAACAAAAGAAAACAAACAAAAAAATTTATCTCAGCAGTAAAAAGCAAGAGAGCTAGTTTTCCCCCAAATTTAACCAAATGTTACTCTGGTGGTTAGTATGCCACCATCTTAAACTCCTTTCATCTGATTAGTAACAATAGACATTTATTTTATGACCAATTTTTTTTTATGGTGAATTACCTGTTTACATTCTTTGACTATTTTTCTATAGATATCTGCAACCCCCCCACCCTCGCACCCTTGGTAGGGATTACTATTTTCTCTACTAAACTAAGACTCCAGGGCAGAGAGGCCTATGTTTAATTCATTTGAGGGAAGGCTTGGCACAAAGTGTACCCTTACATATTTTCTTTTTTTGAGACAGAGTTTCACTCTTGTTGCCCAGGCTAGAGTGCAATGGAGTGATCTCGGCTCACTGCAACCTCTGCCTCCAGAGTTCAAGCGACTCTCCTCCCTTAGCCTCCCGAGTAGCTGGGATTACAGGCGCTCGCCGCCATGCCCGACTAATTTTTTGTATTTTTGGTAGAGACGGGACTTCACCATGTTGGCCAGGCTGGTCTCGAACTCCTGACCTCAGGTCATCCACCCGCCTCGGCCTCCCAGTGTTGGGATTACAGGCATGAGCCACCGCGCCCGGCCTCGCACTTACAAATTTTCAAAGAATGAACAGTAAATATTTGAAAATCCCCTCCTCTCCCGCAATTTATGTTTGACACCGTCTTTCAGTTCTGCTTTAAAAATTCACTCTCGCGGCCGGGCGCGGTGGCTCACGCCTGTAAT